GAAACAAATCCTCCCTCCTTCTGTCTTTTGTTCTATTTAGGCCCTCATGGATTGGATGTTGTTCACCGCATTGGAGAAGGCAATAGGCCTCACTAAGTCTGATTCAGATGCTATTATTTTCCAAAACCCCTCACAGACACACCCAGAAATGTGCCTAAACAACACTACTGAGCATCCATTTTGTTCAAGTTGACACATAACATTAAACCATCAACCACCCATAGGTGCTAATTAGGAAAAGACACTTGATATCTTTTACTATATTTGCTGCTGATGCACTCTTTGGCATCCAGTCTAGGTCTCTCTCTCTGTCTCCATTGCTCATCTTTACTTGTCAATAACTAAATGAACTTATTGTGCCAGGCGCGGTGGCCCATGCCTTGTAAGTCCGCACTTTGGGAGGCCGAGGCAGGCGGATCATGAGGTCAGAAGTCGAGACCAGCCTGGCCAATGTGGTGAACCCTGTCTCTAAATAAAAAAAAAAAAAATACAAAAATTAGCAGGCATGGGTTGTGCGCAGCTGTATGCCCAGTTACTGGAGGCTAAGGCAGGAGAATACTTGAACCTGGGAGGCGGAGGTTTCAGTGTAGCCGAGATGGCACCACTGCTCTCCAGCCTGGGTGAAATAGAGCAAGACTCCATTTCAAAAAACAATATAATAATAATATAACATAAATGACTTACAGTATTGTTGCAAGTATTAAATGAGATCATTCATGTCAAGTACTTGGAACAGTAATGGCACATAATAAGCTATTATTACCATTAAAAGGGAACCAAGTTTATGGTATGTGTACTAAATAACATATTAATATTTTGCTTTTCATTTTGTATTTGTTTCATTCTATTCTTTATCTAGCTTTTGCTTCTCCTTTTAGTTCTTATGCTGTGCTCTTTTTTAGGTAAGGGTAGTTTGGCTACAAACAGTTAGAATGCACATCTAAAGTCTGTGTAAAAATATACCAGGACTTGTCTTATTGTCTTAGAATTGCAGCTAAGGCCCAATGCTTAGGACCAAAGGTACTTAATCTGTCACATTTTAAGTGTGCCACTATTTAGGGCTGGTCATCTCACTCCAGAGCTTATGAGAAGTACCAAGAAGTACCTCTGGACTGGCCCTATCACTAACTGCCTCCCTTGCAATCCCCCAGTCAGTATAAAGCAGGTATTTAGAGCAAGGACGTGGCACTAGGGGGATTGAAGTGTTTGAAACTATTCCCTCTGCTCATCCAGTCAGGGGCCTCAGGAGACTCACCGGTCAAAACGGGAATGACTGAAGAAGAGGAGATCAGTCTTTCATTCTTTGGTTAGATGACTGCAGAGCTAGAAGATGTGATGATCTGTCACCTTGCTTGTGACCATGTAAAAGAGAATTATGGACACGTGACATGACAGGGCAGGAGAGGCGGGCAGGAGAGGCAGGCATGAGACTGCCAGGGAAGAGGAAGCCAAGATCACCTCCCTTGAATTCCTGGAGGAGAAAGGTATAGAGAATGGATCTTGCACTGAGTTAGCTCCAGATGATAGCAAAGACTGGGGACTGTCACAGCAGGAAGGACAATGAGAAATGCAGTGGAACAGAACCAGCCAGGGGTCTGCTGCAAGATCTAGCTGTATCTTGAAAGGACCTGCTAATACTTGGGGAACTACTTGAAATCGAGCCCCTGGTCAGTGGAAAATGACAATGACCATCATCCATATCACTCCTACATGGACATTGAGAAAACAGAGCAACACAGCCAATGAAGCGGAGCATGCAAACTTGTGCAGGATGGCAGAGAAATGTTTGCCCTTTTCTTCTCCCTCCCCCAGTTCCTTGGAGAAGTTAGTTCGTAGAAGAGGGAGGAGATGTGTGAAAACCAGACCAACTCCTGGCCATAAATACATAGTCACGTACACACATACCTACACCTATACAAAGTCACAGTTACATACATGTATACCAACACACATGCATCATGCACACTTACACACACACATGCATGTGTATCGACAGAAACAGACACACATACACATATTTGAAGTCATTAAAGCCACAACTGTAGCTGTCTTAATCTTTCTGAGCTGCTTAAGCAAATGAGTATCTTTTTTTCTTTTTTGAGACGGAGTCTCACTCTGTTGCTGGAGTGCAGTGGTGTGATCTCAGCTCACTGCAAGCTCCACCTCCCAGGTTCACGCCATTCTCCTGCCTCAGCCTCCTGAGCAGCTGGGACTACAGGCGCCCACCATCACGCCCATCTAATTTTTTGTATTTTTGGTGGAGACAGGGTTTCACTGTGTTAGCCAGTATGGTTTTGATCTCCTGACCTTGTGATCCTCCCACCTCAGCCTCCCAAAGTGCTGGGATTACAGGCATGAGCCACTGCGCCTGGCCCGCAAATGGGTAATTTATAAACAACAGCAATTTATTGCTCATAGTTCTAGAGGCTGGGAAGTCCAAGATCAAGAGGTCAGCAGATTTGGTGTCTAGTGAGGGCTCACTCTCTGCTTCATAAGTGGCGCTTGTAGCTGTGTCCTCACATGGGGAAAGGGGCAAATGAGCTCTCCTAAAGACCCTAGTCCTTAATACTGTTGCATTGGAGATTAGGTTTCAACATACGAATTTCAGGAGGACACAAACATTTAGAACACAGCACTAGCCTATGCTGGAGAGAGGGGAGGACTCAAGATCTGAATCACACACAAAACTGAATTTTAAGAATGAAGAGGCATGAGTCTTAGATAATAGAATAAGAACTATTCTTGTAATCAAAAATGGCTGACAAGTTACAGAATCTAGCCAAAAAGTCTTTATGGGAGACACTACTGCGTGGGAAAAGGAGGGTTCCAACTATGTAGTTGAGAGTATCCAATAAGCCAGGTATGGAAAGAACTGAAAGGGACCAAACAATTTAATCCATGAGCACCAGAGCTGCAAGGGGACAGAAAGGCCCATCCTTTGGTGATACACAAAGCCATCATCTGACAGCTACTCATGAAGCACCTACTATTGTTCTATACAATTCATTGTAGATGCAGAAAGGATTAAGATCTGGCTCCTATCTTCAGGGAGCCTAAAGAAGACTATTATAGCTCTTGGCTAAGGATTTACGTCACTGCCCAAGCCTTGCCTGAAATGAGCGGTCCTGGCTTTGAACTCTTACTCCTCAACTGTCTAATCACCTTGAATCTTTCCAGAATTCTAAGATAACTTCCTGCTCTAAGTCACTTGATGCTACACAGATTTCAGTAACAACAGTTAAATCAAAGAGCTCCTCCAGCTGCATTCTCTGCACTACGAATGCAGCTTTTTTGCAGCCTGGCAGGGTCTTCACAGACAATCCAGCTCCATTCTTCTCCTCTGGTTTTGTTTCTTCTTGCTGTCTGTCTAAAGGAGGCAAGTGGGGCAGGGATTGTGGATGGGAGAAAAGAAGAGAAAAATTGGCCGGGCGCGGTGGCTCAAGCCTGTAATCCCAGCACTCTGGGAGGCGGACGGGCGGATCACGAGGTCAGGATCAAGACCGTCCTGGCTAATACGGTGAACCCCGTCTCTACTAAAAAATACAAAAAACTAGCCGGGCGAGGTGGCGGGCGCCTGTAGTCCCAGCTACTCGGGAGGCTGAGGCAGGAGAATGGCGTAAACCCGGGAGGCGGAGCTTGCAGTGAGCTGAGATCCGCCACTTGCACTCAACCGGGCGACAGAGGAGCTCCATCCAAAAAAAAAAAAAAAAGAAGAGAAAAATTTATCTAGACATACATTTTAAGTTCCACTTTAAAAAAAAAAAAGATTAAGATCTCCACATTACCTGCTAGCAGTTTGCAATTATTTATGTAAACAGCTAATGATTTTCTAATGGAATTGACTGAAGAGAACCAAGGAGAGTCCTGGTAAAAACTCATTTTTAATAAACCAGTGACTTTTTACACTACCAAATTTCAACCATTTTAACCTCACATAGCTAAAAGGCATTCATAACCCAAACTTGAAATCACCAAATTTAATTCCATGATCCTCACTAGAATCCGGAAACATTAGTAATTCTATTCCCAGATTCAGACTCCTCAGTGACAAGTTGATTTTTAATGGTATGTCCTATAGACAGTGCATATCAGTAGAGACATAACAGTTTTGCCTTGAAGAGAATGCACAGTAAAACTATAAAAGTGCTTAGTGCATTTCTAGCAATAAAACCCAAGAATACAGAGTTACGTGAGAGGCTGCCTGCTGCGGCAACAAAGTAACGTCAACTGACAAAGAATCCAAGATGCTAATAAGAGTGGATACTGAACTTTTGTAGTTCAAACGACAATATATCAACTAAAGGAGGAAGAGAATTAACATATCTATTGCTTCTATATATTAACCTAAATAAAAGAGACATCTGGCATCAGGTAAGTTTATTGATGTTAGAGGTTACCAATTTCTTTTGTCTCATTATGAGTTTTTTCTAAATCAAATAATGAAAAGCAGAGGGGAAATGTTATCCAATATTTTAAACTTTTTGAATAATCTGTAAATATGACATTTGCAGGGGTCACATTATCTGAAGGTCACACGTGAGATAAGAGGAAGAGAATGGACAACCAAAATATTTTATTTTAGTTCTCTATGAAGACTGTTTAACAGATCACCAGGCAGGATCAAAAGAATTTGGCCTTATCTGCTGGAACAATTATGCATACCCGCACAACACTGGGAGGGGTGCAGAGCAGGGAGTGAGGGTGTGGGTGCTGCAGTCCAACTGGCTTGGTTTCACATCTAATCTTAACTTTCTGGTTGTGTGTCCTTGAGAAAGTAACCTCTCCTAAGCCTCAGCACCTTCGTATATAAAATGGACAATGTTTCATGCATGGCAAGTGCTCAATAAATGTTAGCAATTGCCATTATTATGAAGGTTTATTGAGAAAATGATCCCAAAGAACCACCTGCCCCCACTTCTTCCTTTCTCTGCTGATAAAACAATGTTTAGGCCATCCCACTTTTCTAAGGCAAATGAAAATCAGAAAATGTCGAACTTCTAAAAACAAAATTGTCTGACATACAAACTTCTTTATGACAATCAATTAGACTTCAAGAAGCAGCTTTGCATCCAAATGAGGTTCACAGATCTCCTGGATGCCATTCTGAGAGCCACTATGTGGCATGGACACTGTGGTGCAGTGTGGTTTGTGGTGAGCCATCGTCAGGCCTACCCATGGGTAGTGGATGTAAGTAGAGAATCCCCAGACCCTGCAGCGGAGGTCCTATGACGCAGACCTTAGGCCTGGGACATGCAGCTTGCAGAGGGGCAGAATGAAAGCCTTAGTAGGTCACATAAGCTGTCTCTGAGTGCTGATGTAGCCAGGGCAGAAGAGACAATAGGCCCACAGTTCTCTGTACTCTGAGTGACCTGGGGTCATCTTCCTGCATGCAGGCTGCCAAGGCCACCAGACTGAAGTGATCCTCCATGAGAAAACAAGGCAGAGAGAAGCCATTTCTTTCCACCTAAACCTTTATCAAGAGTAAATCCTTTACATTGCTATTTAGCAGCTTTGATTGTAAGTCAGAATAAGAGCAACCCTGAACTGAGTCCAAACTGCCCTCTTCACTCACCCGCACACCTGGTCAGGCCTAGTCTACATACGTGCCACCCACTCCCTTCCTCTCCCAGGGGCAGACATTGCTAATGGATCACAGCAGTCTGTCCTACTGAGTTCAGATGAGCCCCACAATTCTCATCACTGGCCCTCAGGGGGCTACTGTCATCCCACTAGAGTTAGCGAATAAGTTCAACCCAATTTGCCAACCCCGATGGACACTGAATTTTATGCAGTAGACTGAGAAATACTAAACAGCCCCAAATTAAAGGAGTTTGAAAAGCATAATCAGTTTGTGCACCACTGTTTTTCAAACCAGAGAGAGTATAGGATAAAAATAAAGACTATTGGCTGGGCATCGTGGCTCACACCTGTAATACCAGCACTTTGGGAGGCCAAGGCAGGCAGATCACGAAGTCAGGAGATGGAGACCATCCTGGCCAACGTGGTGAAACCCTGTCTCTACTAAAAATACAAAAATTAGCCAGGTGTGATGGGGGCGCCTGTAGTCCCAGCTACTCAGGAGCCTGAGGCAGAAGAATCACTTGAACCAGGGAATCAAAGGTTGTAGTGAGCAGAGATTGCGCCACTGCACTCCAGCCTGGGTGACAGAGCGAGATTCTGTCTTGAAAAAAAGTAATAACTAACTAACTAACTAAATAAATAAATAAAGACTATTGCCAGATTTTGGCCCATCTTACTTTAGATTTGTATTGTTTTCATGGCTTTCTAATCGCATATCTATTTTAAATTTTCCTCTCTGTTTCCAAAGTGTTTCTGACTCATTCCTCTCTCACACCCTCTTAAATGTGGTGGCCATTCAGCAGCTGGATCTGGCCTCTCCATCTAAGAGCACTTCTGCTCCATTTTAGACCTTTCAACATTTAATACCCTCTCAGTGTCACTATCAATAGAGCTATGAGTGAGCTCAACCTTTCCCTAGAAGTGGTGATTTAATGTGTGAATTATATGGTTATTAGAATGGGCGTCAGGGAAACAGTGTAATATATGTAATGTGGGGGCTGACGGGGCTAGAGGAGCTGAATCTGTCTGGATGATTTCTGGCACTTCTTTTAATGCTATGTCAATTATTCTTATGACCAATCACTCAAAACTGTCTATTACCTTCTAATAATAATAATAATATTTTTCACTTAATGTTGCACCTTTCACCAGAGGATTTCAAAGAGCTTTGCAAACATTCATTAACATTTTATGAAGTGGGCAGGTAATATATAAATACCAAGTCACATGTCTCTGAATAGCAGCCATTAATAGTTCCCTTGACACCACATTCAGGTTAGGGCAGAAACTAAAAGAGACTGCATAAATGAGAAGTCACGCGCCATCATTACTGGCATTTACTGGGTGTCCGCAGAGGCCTGCCAGAGATGCAAAGATAAGTCTTATTTTCTTGTCTTTCAGTGTGATGGGAAAGGTGGGCTGTCCTTCCTCTTACTGCCTCTCACACACACGAACCCCTCTTCCGGAGACTGTACAGTATAGACAATCTGGAATACTAGATTCTTTCAGACTCAAGCTCTTAGATCCCCTGCTAAGAGGAAGCTGTCTTCACAGGGGGATAATTCTGGTTGTCCTATCCATGATCCTGACACAGGAATTGTAAGTACTTCCACCCTATCCTCAGAACAAAATGGAATAGCTAACAGTGCACACCAGGGGCTGGGAAGGACATGCTGTCAGAGCCTGGGTAAGGGAAGCTTGAACATTGAGTGTCAATGAGACTGAGTGTGAGCAGTGACCTAAGAGGCAACCACAAGGGGTCCCTAAGAGCCAAGGTTACAAGTGCCCCAGCTGAGTGGCTGGTGGGGACAGGCAGAGGAGAGGAGTCACCCTTGAACTCCTATTCTCTTTTTTTTTTTTTTTGAGACGTAATCTCACTCTGTCGCCCAGGCTGGAGTGCAGTGGCATGATCTTGGCTCACTGCAACCTCCACCTCCTGGGTTCAAGCTATTCTTGTGCCTCAGCCTCCCAAGTAGCTAGGATTACAGGCGTGAGCCACCAGGCCTGGCTGATTTTTTGTATTTTTAGTAGAGACAGGGTTTCGCCATATTGGCCAGGCTGGTCTCAAACTCCTGACCTCACGAGATCCACTCACCTTGGCCTCCCAAAGTGCTGTGATTACAGGCGTGAGCCACTGCGCCCAGCCTGAACTCCTATTCTCTATGTAATTTGTCTGTATGGAAGATATAATAGAATTAGAACGGGAACCAACAGCCCATTTTGTTCATTCCTCTTGACTTTCTCTGGGAATGTAAGCATGTGTTTACTTACATACTGGTATTAGTCAAGATATGCTAAATTAGGCTGGGCATCATCACCAAACAATCTCAAGGTGTTGACACCAGTCGTTTACTTGTTCACACTAAATCCATCTCAGCCTCATATCAGAATCCCTACTAAGAGGAAGCCATCTTCTGGGGGAAGGGGGTGAAATTCTGGTTGCCTATAAATGATCCTGACCCAGGAATTTTAAGTACCTCAACCCCAGCTTCAGACCAGGTTCAGGTTGTTCATCCTCCACGTGGTGGCTCATCATTCCAGGCTTCAATCTTGGGCATCTCCATCCCAACATGATCCTTCCTGGTTCACCATGGTAGGGAAAATAAGATGGAAGGTAACATACCAGCTCTTAAATGCTTTCCCCAGAGGTGACACATGTCATTTTTATTCCCAGCCTGTTGGCTAGAACTAGTCACATCGTGCCATCCAACTAGTGGAGGGGCAGGAAGACACAGTCCTCCATATGTTCCAGGAGGGGAGGAGAACTGGAACTATTAGTGAACATTAGCAATGTCTGCTGCAACTGTTAAGTGCTGGCTTAGTTTGGGACCTGTGGAATCTTCTTTTTTTTTTTTTTGAGACAGAGTCTTGCTCTCTCACCCAGGCTGGAGTGCAGCAATGTGATCTCCTCTCACTGCAACGTCTGCCTCCTGGGTTCAAGCGATTCTCCTGCCTCAGCCTCCTGAGTAGCTGGGATTACAGGGATTCGCCACCATGTCCAGCTAATTTTTGTATTTTTAGTAGAGATGGGGTTTCACCGTGTTGGCCAGGATGGTCTCGAAATCCTGACCTCAGGTGATCCACCGCCTTGGCCTACCAAAGTCCTGGGATTACAGATGTGAGCCACTGTGCCTGGCTGGAATCTTCTTTAGACTTCAAAGGCAATGTGGTAGAGCAGAGAACAAGAGTATCATGATACGTGGGTAGGCTTCCCTTGCCTTGTGCTCTGTGGACACAGTCAGACTGAAGATAAATGCATCCTAAACATTGGATATCACCCAGATAGTCTAACGGTGCCATTGTGTTCCTTTCTGCACAGACCTAAGCTTTCTCCCAACAATTTTTCCTCTCATGCTTGCTTTCTCCTTTTTATTCATTAATTTAGAAACTTGGGTTAGCATATTCCTCTCCTACCCCACTCCCAATTTCCTTTACACAAAGGATGTTTTCTGACGGCAAAAACATCATGCAATGGGGAGAATCCTGTGAGCCAACATTTCTGTGTTCACTAAGAAAGTACTCTCCTGTCTCCTTTTTTTTTTTTTTTTGAGACGGAGTCTCGCTCTGTCGCCCAGGCTGGAGTGCAGTGGCCGGATCTCAGCTCACTGCAAGCTCTGCCTCCCGGGTTCACGCCATTCTCCTGCCTCAGCCTCCAGAGTAGCTGGGACTACAGGCGCCCGCCACCTCGCCCGGCTAGTTTTTTGTATTTTTTAGTAGAGACGGGGTTTCACCGGGTTAGCCAGGATGGTCTCGATCTCCTGACCTTGTGATCCGCCCGTCTCGGCCTCCCAAAGTGCTGGGATTACAGGCTTGAGCCACCGCGCCCGGCTCCTGTCTCCTTTTTGAAATTTAAGAAATGATGATCATTCTGGTGATTTATGCAATATTCACTCTTGATTACCCACCAGTGCATTATCCATACTGTTGCCTAATCATTGTTGACATAATTGGGTTAGGAAGATATTTTTCACCCTAATTCACTATCCCTTCTTTAAAAGCAGAAACTTTTCTTAAGGAAGATTTTTCTTAAACCTGAAACAGATTTCATGTTCTTCATCTTAGAAAGAGTATGAAGCCAAAAGTTATTGGCTCCCTTCACTACTCACAGCCAGAAGTCTCTCCCTTCCTCCCCCCACCTTCTGGGCTCAGTGGACCCATCAATCCTTCATTTTCTTTTGGAAGCTGGTTCAGGGAACAGTCTACTGTGGTAGAGGAAAGTCAAGGCAAAGGGGGAAGGAAAGGAAAATTCCTCCATGTCACCATCAAGTTCCCAGCACCCTTTCATTCTAATTATTTACAGCTAATCTAATTTTTTCTAGTGGGAAAAAAGGATTTGAGAGGTATAAACGTAGGAGCAGGGAGCTGGTTCCACAACTTCTCAGCTATGTGATTTGGACAACATACTTAATCACTTGGGTCTCCATCTACCAATATCTAGAAAGGAAACAATAATACTGCCAACATCATAAGATTGTAAAGAATAAATGAAAATATATACATGAAATAGCAGAAAGAAGACATGTAAAATTTATCTCCCCTTCCTGAAAACGTTGTTCCATCTCCCTCTTCTCCTCCTCTCTCCTTTTTCCTCTCTTCCCAACCCATCACTTCTAACCTTTTCCCAGGCAAAGACTGACATGCCCACACTGAACCTTTCTTTGCCGAAGAAAGGTTCCATTAGGCCTCTGTCTATGACAAAGCTCCATTAGACTTTGCCCAGGTGAAATTCCATTAGATCTTAAACAAAAGGACAAGTCTCTCATTAAATCTATTGGGAGACATCAAGAGAAGAATTCCTAATAACAAATCTGCACATAATATTTATTATCCCTTAGTGAAAGTATGCATGCAGTGACTCTTGGCATTATCATCATGAATAAAAATGGTTTTAGGCTGGGTGCAGTGGCTCACGCCTGTAATCCCAGCACTTTGGGAGGCCGAGGCAGGCAAATCACGAGGTCAAGAGATCCAGACCATCCTGGCCAACAGGATGAAACTCCATCTCTATTAAAAATACAAAAATTAGCTGGGCGTGGTGGCATGCGCCTGTAGTCCCAGCTACTTGGGAGGCTGAGGCAGGAGAATCTTTTGAACCCGGGAGGCGGAGACTGCAGTGAGCTGAGATCATGCTACTGCACTCCATCCTGGTGACAAAGCGATACTTCATCTCACCAAAAAAAAAACAAACAAAAAAACAAAACAACAACAACAAAAAACCAGTTTTAATGTTAATAGCCTCTCTCCTGACTTAAAAGCATAACAGGCTGTTAAAAGGTTTCAGGTGCCCCATCCACCCATCCAGAGGTTAACATGAGAAGTTAAATCTTTCCTGGGGGCCAGGTGCAGTAGCTCACACCTGTAATCCCAGTACTTTGGGAGGCTGAGGCGGGCGGATCACTTGAGGTGAGGAGTCAGAGACCAGCCTGGACAACATGGTGAAACCCCGTCTCTACTGAAAATACAAAAATTAGCTGGGCGTGGTAGTGGGCACCTGTAATCCCAGCTACTGAGGAGGCTGAGGGACGAGAATTGCTTGAACCTCCTAGGCAGAGGTTGCAGTGAGCTGAGATTGTGCCACTGCACTCCAGCCTGGGCAACAGAGCAAGACTCCATCTCAAAAGAAAATCTTTCCTGGGGAACCTTCTATCCTCAGGTTTGCACATTCCTGTTAAAGTATCTCCTTCATGCTTCCACCTCATGAATCTCAACCCATCTTTTGGGAAACTTCAGCCCCTCCTCTTGGAAACTGGTCTCAATCCCAAATCAATCCCATCTCAAGCCCCATCTAAGGTACATTTCTGCAACTCTCAGTAGTTAAGTACATAGCAACACCTCAACCAGGAGGAGGGCTAGAAAGGAGAGACTCCTAGGTGCAATTTTTTTTTTTTTTTTTTTAGACAGAGTTTCACTCTCGTTGCCCAGGCTGGAGTGCAGTGGCACGATCTCGGCTCACTGCAAACTCCACTCCCAGGTTCAAGTGATTCTCTTGCCTCAGCCTCCCAAATAGCTGGAATTACAGGCATGTGCCACCATGCCCAGCTAATTTTGTATTTTTAGTAGAGACGGGATTTCTCCTTGTTGGTCAGGCTGGTCTCGAACTCCCGACCTCAGGTGATCCACCAGCCTCAGCCACCCAAAGTGCTGGGATTACAGGCGTGAGCCACCACCCCCAGCCCCTAGGTGCATATTAATAGCACAGCCCAGGATAGGGAGGGTGCAGACCTTGCAAAGCAAGTCCATGTGTGGCCTCACCAACCCCACCAGTGTAAACTGAAGGCACCTCTATTTATTCTCCCAACTTTATAGCTAATAACTGTTGGGCTAAATAAACACATCCTCCAAAGACAAAAAAAAAATTTCATCTGTTCATTCATTTATTCTGCAAATATGTATTGGGTTATCATTATTATTATTATTGTGAGATACAGTCTCACTCTGTTGTCCAGGCTAGAGTGCAGTGGCACACTCTCTGCTCACTGCAACCTCTGCTTCCCGGGTTCAAGAGATCTTCCTACCTCAGCCTCCCAAATAGGTGGGATTACAGGTGTGTGCCATCACACCCGGCTAATTTTTTATTTTTAGTAGAGACAGGGTTTCGCCATGTTGGCGAGTCTAGTCTTGAACTCCTGGCCTCAAGTGATCTACCCACCTTGGCCTCCCAAAGTGCTGGGATTATAGGCATGAGCCACCGCGCCTGACCTGTATTGGGTTATTTATTTTTTATTTTTTTGAGACAGAGTCTCACTGTGTTGCCCAGGCTGGAGTGCAGTGGCGCGATCTTGGCTCACTGCAACCTCCGCCTCCTGCATTCATGCCATTCCCCTGCTTCAGCCTCCCGAGTAGCTAGGACTACAGGCACCCACCACCATGCCCAGCTAATTTTTTTTTTTTTTTGTAGAGACGGGGTTTCACTGTGTTAGCCAGGATGGTCTCAATCTCCTGATCTCATGATCTGCCCGCCTCAGCCTCCCAAAGTGCTGGGATTACAGGTGTGAGCCACCACGCCCAGCCCTGTATTGGGTTATTATGTGCGTCAAGAACTCTCCTAGACTTTGTGGACTGTTGCTCCTCTTGTGAAGTTTGCATTCTAGTAGAGGCGTGTGCTGGATATCTTCTGTGTGCTTGGCCAGATTCCCTCTCCACTCTTTACAACCCTACTCTGTGTTTTGGGAGACTGACCTTTGTGAACTATATCCATTGGCAGCCTTGCCCTTTGGTCTCTGGTTGGATAAGGCCACTGAGAAGCACTAGCAGAAGACTGGATTGAAGCAGGAGCGTGAGGTCTGCATGTTTATTCCCGCCCACCCTCCCTGCTGGGTCACAGCCCTGGCAGATGGGGTCTCCTATAAACTGTAGCTATTTTCTCCAGGCTCAAGTAGCTGCTCACTGCCCCGCCCCATTCAGGCCTAGGGTGGTAAGAATTTCTTGTTATTGTTAAAAGGAGCATCATCAGCCCTTGATGGGTTCCCTTACCTGCCCACATCTTTGTAAACAGGCACTTGACCAGCCTCTCCTCAATTATCCCATTTGAGTGGGTTGTTTTCTACTGGAACTTCATTGATGTAGGGAAGTAGATGTATAATCAAAATGATCCATAATACTGCTTATAAAATCTAGTTATTGTAAGAGAAGATAGATTGTGGAGGGGAAGGCACTATAAGAGTGGTTAGGAAAAGTTATTTGAGCAGGTTACCTGACTAATAAACAGGGGTCAGCAATTCTCTCAGGGAGATCACTGCAGACAGAAGGAAAAGCAAGTGAAAAGACCAGAAGCAGGAATGAGCTTTGCATCGTCTAAGAAGGAAAATGAGGCCAATGTAGAGGAGGAGGAGGAGCGTGATACGTGATGAAGTGGAGAAGCAGGCAAGAGCCAGCCCAGGTGGAGCCTTGGCTATGGAAAGGTGTGGTGTATTTATCCATTTTCACACTGCTATACAAAACTACCTGAGACTGGATGACTTATAAAGAAAAGAGGTTTAATTGGCTCATGGTTCTGCAGGCTGTACAGGCTTCTTCTTCTGGGGAGGCCCCAGGAAACTTACAGTCATGCAGAAGGGAAGCTACCCCATCTTACATGGCCGGAGCAGGAGGAAAAGAGGGAAGGGGAAGGTGCTGCAAACTTTTAAACAACCAGATCTCGTGGGAACTCAATCACTATCAAGAGAACAGCAAAGAGAAAATCCACCTCCATGATCCAATCACCTCCCACCAGTCCTCTCCTCCAACACTGGGGATTACAATTCGACCTGAGATTTGGGCAGGGACACAAATCCAAACCATCTCAGAAGGAGTTTAGATTTTGTTGTGGGGCAATGTGAAGATGTGAAAGGGTTAGTTTAAGTAGGAGGGTGGCATGATCAGCTGTACATCTCTGAAAGCGCTCCCTTGGGCCAATCTGTCAGAAACTATTCTTGGGGACAAGAGAGGAAGCAGGAAGATCCATTGGAGCCTCTGGGAGCATCTAGAGCAGAGAAGATGGGGATCTGGATTTGGCTGGAGACAGACAGTGAACAACAGTGTTGGGTGTAGTATATGTTGAAGGAAGAACTCACAGGACTTGCCAGGGAGTGAGATGTGAGGAATGGAAACAAGAGGAATCAAGGATGACAGGGAGGTTTGGTACTTGAGCAGCTGCATATGCAACGGCACCATTGACAGGGATGGTTAAGACTAGGGCAGCAGCGGGGGGTGAGGGAGAGGAGGGAAGATTAGAGAAGACATCTAAGTGCAGCTGCCAGCATCAGAGATACCAACACGGGCATCATCTTCATGTAGAGAGGGACTCACCGCAGAGGAGCTGGACAAGCTGGTGGAGGGAGGGAATGTAGTTCATCTGCACCATCTAAACCTGGGAGGGTGACGAGACATCATTTTCTAACTGCTCATACATTTCAAAGTGCTGCTCTCTCAACAGAGTCAGCATGTCACATTAATATGCAGAACACTGCTTACTTTCTTTCCTTCATTTCCTACTTCCAAATTGTATGTCTTCAGGCCTGCAGAAAATAAGAAAGAGGCCCAGCTCTGAGCTGTATCCCTTTAATAGCTGTTCCCTTAGACATGAAAAGAAAAGTCTGGAGCACATAGGGATGTCCTGATTTTTATCCCATGGACCCCCCCTCCTCAACTTCTATGTATGGGAAAGAAAGAAATAGCTTTATTCATTCATATTTTCAACAAGTATTTACTGATTGAACTCTGGGCCAGTTTCTAGGTGCTGGGGTAGAAAACAGGCAAAAATCTCTGCCCTTATAGAACTTACCTTCTAGGTGGGGGAGATAGAAAATAAACAACAGACATCATTTTAAAAATTAAATGATAACATGTCTTAGAAACTGAAAAGGCTGGGGTCAGGAAGACAGGAAACAAACAACAAACATCCTTTTAAAAAATTAAATGAGTCGGGCGCGGTGGCTCACGCCTGTAATCCCAGCACTTTGGGAGGCCAAGGCAGGTGGATCACCTGAGGTCAGGAGTTCTAGACTAGTCTGGCCAACATGGTGAAATCCTATCTCTACTAAAAATACAAAATTAGCTGGATGTGGTGGCATATGCCTGTAATCCCAGTTACTTGGAAGGCTGAGGCAGGAGAATCGCTTGAACCTGGGAGGTGGAGGTTGCAGTGAGCCAAGATGGAGCCATTGCAATCCAGCCTGGGCAACAATAGCAAAACTCCATTACAAAAAAAAAAATTAAATAATACGTCTTAGAAACTGGAAAAAAAAAAAAAAAGCAGAATAAGGGATATTTGAAGCACGGAGGGGGATTCCACTTTTAAATAGGATGGTCAGAATAAGTCTCACGGAGCAGGTGGCATTAGAACAGTGACTCAGAGGTGAGGCATACGCTAGGCAGATATGGGGATAACGTCCCGGCAGAGGGAGCGGCCAGAGTCAGGAATGAGCCTGGTGTGAGAGAAATAGCAAGGAGGCCGGTGTGACTTACATAGCCGTGCCTAGGACACCCGCCCTCTCCAGCACCTGCTGAACACCACCTGTCCTTCAAAGCCCAGTCCAAATGCTGCCTCCTCCACGAAGCTCTCCCCAGATACTCCAGTCCACATTCATCTTTCCACTCTTCTGGACTACCTCAGTACCCACAGTCAAGGCCACACAGTTCCGAAGTTGTTTTCAAATGGTTGTATTCATTTTGCCTACCCAGCTAAACTCTCAAGCTTTCTAAATTCAGAGAATCCTTCTTTGTACTTCGTTGTGTCAACCTTGGCACACGATAAGTGAATAATAAATGCCATTGATTTATTGACTAAATGAGGAATTCTTAAATCATCTATATCGGACTTTGAAATTACAGGCACATAAATACACATCCACATGTGCCTAGAATCTTCCCCTCATGTAGTGCTAACCTCTCTTCAGGACCTGGCTGGAATATCGAAAGGCTGGGACCAAGGAGGACAGGAGGGATGGAAGGGCGAAGAGGCTCCAGGCGATCATGATGTGTGTGAAAGATGAATGCTTGAGCCACAGATACTTGGGAACAGATTTGTTAAAATGGCACAGGGCAAAAAACAGTTAACTTTGGTGCCTCAGAGCAGCAGAGGAAAAAGCTGAAAATAATTTTTTTGTAAAATTTGTAACTTTAAAATCTATGTTTTAAAAAAGACAAAAAACAGTGCAGGAGAGACTGTCTCAGTAACTGTCTAACGAGGCTGGCAAGGTGACAAATGTTTCTCTCTTCAATGGGTTTTCCATAGTTAAAAAGGGAAGTTGACATCCCTGGTAAGCTTCAGCATTCAACACAAAGATGACCTCACTTTGCAAATAGACTTCTTATTTTCCTTCCCACTTGGTGTATCCCAAGAAATAAATGTGGGCAATGTCATAGGAAGAGCACTTTTCCTTCCACCCCAATGTTCTTAACCTAAACCACAGATAAGACACCATCTCCTGTCTGCTAGGTGAGAGAATTGAGAACACCTGTACTTTCTCCATCTCGTCTGTCACTGGCTCATCCTATGGGGCAGAGAGATGGGAGAGGGCAGGGTAGACACAGCCCATGTTATCGGGGAGGCAGGACCTCCTCCAGGAAGCGGAGACCAGCTTTGGTTCACTCCTTCACATTTGCACTCAGCTCAGCTTCACAGATCTGCATGTGCCCAACGAGATGAATAACTGTTCTCCTCTCCCAGCTAATAAACAGTCAAATTGGGCCTTCTTCTGCAGGCCTGGCCAGGTCTTCACCTTTCCAAGATGGGCTGAGAATGAACGGTTAGGTCAGGAATGGGAGGGCAAGGAAGGTTGTGTTTTGGAGAGGGAGGCAGAAGGCTTTGCCACATTCTCCAGCATTGCTACTAATAAAGCTGATCAGCATCTCAATTGGTTAAGAGACTGCAGAAGAGGAAGGGTGATTAATTAGCCCCTTCAGATCTCCAACGCAATTGAATTCTCCTGATAACAAAGACTCTTAGAGAAGTACCTGAGATATTGAAACATTCAAACACATCAGCACCATTGTGTTCTGTGATAAAGACTAGAAAGCGGAATCTAGAATCTATGACCATTTTCCAAAAAACATGGCAGGTTTTAGGGCTCTATTGTTTCATGCAGTGAGATTTTCAAGGAAAATTTCCAACTAAGAAATACTCTGTAGTCTTCATTTTAACAAATAAGAAGGAAAACAATGAAAGAGATATTCTAATGCCCATGAACATTTTCAAACTGACTTTGCGTATTCCCTCCCAAGTGGCACTGAGAAGGACACGTCTTTTCCATGGTATTCCTGGCAAGAATGCATAACTTGAAACGAATCATAAGAAAACAATCAGACAAGCCAAAATTGGGGGAACCTCAGGGGCCTGTACTCTACAAAACTGTCAATCTCATGAAATACAAAGAAAGAAAGACCAAGGAATGGTTGCAGATTAAAGGAGACAAAGAATGTATGATCCTGGGGCCTGGTGCGGTGGCTTACCTCTGTAATCCCAGTACTTTGGGAGGCCAAGGCGGTTGGATCACTTGAGGTCAGGAGTTTGAGACCAGCCTGATCAATATGGAGAAACCCCGTTTCTACTAAAAATACAAAAATTAGCTGGGCATGGTGGTGCACACCTGTAATCCCAAATACGTGGGAGGCTGAGGTAGGAGACTTGCTTGAACCCGGAAGGCAGAGGGGTTGCAGTGACGTCAGTCATGCCACTCGCCCGCTCAGCCTAAGTGACAGAGGAAACTCTGTTA